AACTTTAACTTTGTTTTTACATATAATGTGAGTAATTAAACCCTATAACTTTTGATGTTTTGTTTCTTTGGTTCTTTACAATTAACATATTTGTGATCGATATTGTGTGTTTGATTGTTTTGATTCATTCGTCTTTAGTATAGAATAATTTGAATTTATTCTTAATTAACTACTTTTTGTTGTTGTAGACGATTTCATTTTCACTGATTAAGTTAAATTTTTTAATTCCATGTGAGTTACTTAAAAGGGTATGTGTGTAAGTGTGTTCACAATTTCTAAGGCTACAGAATTGTGAATTGATTTTTAGCATAATTTTTTGTTTTTCTTAGCATCTTCTTCAATTTACTGTTTATATATCTTCATTAAATTTTTTTGGTTTCATAGATTATGAAACTAATTTTGATTATAACAAGTTTCTCACAGAATGTTATCATCATATAGTAAGATTTGAAGGTAATTATTCTTATAGAATGAGCCATTCCGACAGAATATACTGAAAAGTTATACTAATTTAAAGTTGATTATGTTATTTTTCACTTTGATATTTTTCCAATAGAATGCATACGGTAACTGAATCTTGAATTCAAATTCTATCCGAATGAAATCAAGAATTCCAATTATGTTGGAATGAAATATGTATATTTATTATAGTTTTTATTCTCTTAGAAACCGAACACAGGAGGTATACCCTCCCGTGTAACCCATTCACTTTGCAAACTTTATTAATTAAAGTGAACCCTCATCTATGAACTTTTCATCCAATTGCTTTTTGATTTTGATTTTGAATTACGAATTCCAATTCTGTTGGAATAGAATATAGATTAAATATTTTATTCTATTTAATGCACTAAAATTTTTAATATTTTGAAAGTTGATTATGTTTTTCTTGTAAATTTAGGTTTTGAAGATGTTGCCATTAACGTGGAAAATGAAGAAAACATAGAACGATATTAGTATTCTAACAGAATATATTCTATTAGAATTTATAAATTGTTTCTTAGCAATAATATTCTTTCGGAATATTATTATTAGTCATAATTTTTTTAGAAAGATTGTAATAATTGTTTATAGTCTTTTTCTTTACCGATGAATGTAAATAGTGATTCTTAAAGAATAAAATATGTATTCTTTAGAAAATGTTATTCTTGATAATATCTTGTATAATTCTTTAAGCATGTTTAATATAAAAAGTATATTAAATGAAACAATATTCTGCAAGAATAAAACCATAATATGTTTATTAGTTTATTGTTGACTTTTTTGTCATTCTGACAGAATAAAATCGGTTATTATTAAAAGTAATATTAAAATTTGAATTAGAATTAATTTAAAAAATTCTTATTAAAAGTAATATTAAAATTTGAATTAGAATTAATTTAAAAAATTCTGATTTTTTAAAAATAAGAGAATTAATGATCCCTTAAAATCCGAAAATTTCCTTTTTTAGAATAGGTTAATTGACCAAAATACCCTTTTGCTAAAATTTGTATGATTATAGGATACATGCTACCCTATTATAATATCATAGACTATCATATCATGATTGTTGATTCTATTCATCCGGTAGTCCAGATCTGTGCATTCTGGCACACAATAGTTACTAGAAACAATATAACCTAACCATATATATATATATATATATATATATATATATATATATATATATATATATATATATATATATATATATATATATATATATATATATATATATATATATATATATATATATATATATATATATATATAGGAGGGTTCAATTGAAAAAAAAAAAAAAGGTTGAGAATGGAGGAATCATTCTCAGCCACTCATTTATTTTTGCCGCAAAAACCTCCGTTGTACCAGCAAAAATGGGAAAGGAATAAACATGTGTTTTCGAACAAAACATATTTCCTTAAACTATGCTAATCATTACCTTAATCTATACAAAAACATAGTTTTTTCGATTTTCTTAATTTTTAAGAAGCTATTTTTATCGAAAAATTATTTTAAATATATCAAAATTCATGATGTTTATTTTCTACAAATAGACACCCATATTGATATAGTTTTAAGATAAAAAAAAAATTATATTTTCAGCTATCGTTACTCATAAGTGAATAAAAATGAATCAGATTTTTACTACAGTACATTCGTTATTCAGTTATGAATAAAAACTATGATTTTTTTTTTTTTTTTACAGTTTAAGTATCATTCATATATTAATATAGCATATAATAAACATAGTGTATTCATATTTAAATATTAGACGATGCATTCACTTATGAATATCACATAGTATATTCAGTTGTGAATATTATATGGTATATTCACTTATGAATGTTAGATAATATTTTGATATCTGAATATTACATAGTATATTCATCTGTGAATATTAGATGATATATTCACTTATGAATATTACACAGTATATTCACATATGAATATTAGATAATATATTCACATATAAATATTACAAGGTATTTTCACAAATATATATAATTTTTATATGTTATTCACATATGAATAACATACAGACTTCCATATTTGGTTTTTTGTTTTAATAATCATTTACTGAGAAAACATATTCATATATGAATATAACGTGCTAATTTAGTTCATGCATTTCATAAAACAGTTGGAGTGCATACAATTTAACTTTTTTAAAAAATGTTAGAAACATGATATTTTGACTATTTAAATCTACAAAAGAGTAGATTGATAGAGAATTATATGAAATTTTTCAAAAAAAAAAAACGATTTGATATTTTTCTAACCTCAATTTTCAAGTTTGATTTGATAATCGATGTTGAATGAATGATATGAAGTGGATTTTTGTTGATTATCGATGATGTTGATATAATAACGCTGGGAGTATAATTAATCATAGATGTTGAAGATCTGATCGTATTCAAACACAATTAAAGGTTGAATTAAAAGAACCAAAAACGAATTTTTGTTGTTAACTGTTGAATCGTGTTGATTATTGACGAAGATCGATGGTTGATTAGCACTGGATGATGTTGATTATGGTTTAATTGAAGAAATCTGGATGATTGTTGGAAGTTTGAGAAGAAATTTGGATGATGAACGATGAATGAGTTTGAACTACAGATACGTATTTGAGATTGAAGGTTGTTGTTCTCATATTTACAAGTTTGTCACCGTGTCTTTTTATGCTTGAATAAAATGAGTGGCTGAGAATGATTCCCCCATTCCCAACCTTTTATATTTTCTTAATTGAACCCACCTATATATATATATATATATATATATATATATATATATATATATATATATATATATATATATATATATATATATATATATATATATATATATATATATATATATATAGGGTTAGGTTCATGTGAGACGGTCTAATTTTGTGAGACCGTGAGACGCATTTTTTATTTATTTTTTTATTTATTTTATTTTTTTTTAGTTAATTCAAGTTCCGAAAATAATATTTAAAAAAAGAATTTTTTGATTTTTCCATTTATTTTGCATTTTAAAATTATTTTTAAAATATGTACAGTGTAATATTCTATTTAGAATATTTCACGTATTTTAAAAAAAAATAGATTTTTTTTAATTTTTTTTATTTATTTTTAGTTAATTCAAGTTCTGAAAATAATATTTAAAAAAGAATTTTTAGATTTTTCCATTTATTTTGCATTTTAAAATTATTTTTTAGAATATGTCAGTGTAATATTCTATTTAGAATATTTCACGTATTTAAAAAAAAAAAAAAAAAAACGGGATTTTTTTATTTATTTTTATTTTTATTTTATTTTATTTTTTTTAGTTAATTCATGTTCCGAAAATAATATTTAAAAAAAGAATTTTTGGATTTTTCCATTTATTTTGCATTTTAAAATTAATTTTAGATTTGGTATCACGGTCTCACAAAATTAGAATAGTTTCAAATAAACATGAACCTATATATATATATATATATATATATATATATATATATATATATATATATATATATATATATATATATATATATATATATATATATATATATATATATATATATATATATATAAAAGAATTTTTTATGAATATAACCAAAAAATAATTCAAAAAGTAAAACATAAAAAACAAATAATGACATAACTTGCTATTAAGGTTCATATATTTCTGTGGATCTTCTATATCAGGTAATTAAATTCTTCAAAATACCATGCGATATCTCACTGGTTCATCTCGTCATCCACGAACCGCCGCCGGCTAGTGCGGCTGTCTGTCGATCTGCTGTATCAGGTAAATCCTCCAATTTGTTTTGTAACTGGTGTTTCTGTTGTGTTTGCTTCCTCCATAGGCCGAATATAAGGAATAAACTGCAGCAACCAAACTCGAACTTTCAAGATTGTGGTTGTTCTTAAGAATTTGGAATCTTGGCGGGGAAGATATCAGTAAATTTTTGTGTATTTCCGCGTTTTCTTTTACATATCCCATGAAATTATTTAAATTTTTATTTGCTATTTTGTGGCGTGATTTGAGGAACGACTATGGGATTTGATTATCGCCAGTCTGGTTTGGTGGTTCCCCTCGATCTATTATATGGTTTTGCCCAACCTTTTGCGTGGGGTTGATAGAGACTTTTTCTTTTGGATTCTTCCGCCAAATGCTGGTGGAAGTTATTGTCGCAAATATATTCATATTAATTTGTGATAAGTAAACTTGTAGACTGTATATATATATATCGGATATGCAAATCTGTTTACAGGAACCAATAACATCTTGGTTTGAACTTTGAATCGATGTAGAAAATCATTGTTAGTTTGGCTTTGGTGATTTTAAACTAGGGTAATTAACGAAAATAATTGTAAATGTTTCTTTAATATATAATTAACGTAACTATATATAAACCGTATTACGTCAGTTATTCTTAAATTGAAATGTTCGTTCTAACAAATGATGTGTTGGTATGAATGATTCAGGTGATGGAGGAATCAATCATAAGCAGTCCTACTCCTAAACCAAAAGTACTAGAAGATGTTACGGAGTTGATGCAGAATATACAATCACGGTTGCCTGTAAAAGCAGCAGCCAAGACAAGCGTGTTGTCCAAGTCATGGCTACATGCTTGGTCTACAATCCCTACCCTCATATTTCATGTTCCCATCGGCAACATACCGATCGAGAGGTTTGACCTTAAAAAACAACAAAGAAAGCAGTTGAAGTTGGTCTACATCGACAACACCCTAATAAGATATCTCCGTGACAACATACCGATCGAAAGGTTTGACCTTAAACTCCCTGTTGAGAACAGGGAACATTCTTCTCTTGCCCAAAAGTGGATTCGTTCATTGGCAACCAAAACTTGTCTTAAAGAGCTTTCTCTCAACTTCGTGGTATACGGTGGCTTGATGAAACTGCCAGATGAGATACTCTGTGGTGAAAACTTAACTTCGATAAGAGTTTCAGGTTCACGGTGGTTGAGGACTAGTGATTGTCCTCCAATCATCAACTGTGTGTCCCTACGAGAACTGTATTTCTCGGGTGTGCGCATAAGTCAACAAATACTTGACCACATATTGACGTCTTGTAGGTTGCTTGCGAAGATAGAGCTAAGAAATTGTTCCAGTTTGGACCTCAAAACCATCAAGGTTAAAAGCCTTCCTTGTCTTAACGAATTAAAAATTACAGAAGAAGGGCGAGTTCGTAGAGTGGAGATCAATAATGTCCCAAATCTTAGCTTCTTTAGCTGCAATCTGCTTGACCAACGGACGCATCATGTTCCATTCAACCCTCATTCAATATCATTAGGAAGCAGTGTGACAGAATTATCGTTAGGTGGTCATGGCCTTGTGACAGACGATGCATCTCTGGACATGATCAAATCAGGGTTACCTTTTCTCGAGAGTTTGACCCTTAATATGACATTCTGGACGTTGGAAAGCTTCCACTTCACATGCGCTTCCATCAGGAGATTTTCCTTGTTGGATTGCAAAAACAGGCTTATCGATATACAGGTCCATGCTTTGAAATTACTTTCTTTTCACCTCAGTGGCTACACAATGCCTAGTCTCTCGTTTCCAATCTCTACTACTCTCGAGGAAATCACATTTCTGCTATATCCTGAAACACGTTTTGGTGCTTCTTTTTTTCTTAAGATGAGGGAAGCACTTGAGTTATCCTTATCAAGCAAGTACTACGTTCATATAAAATTCCATCGGCGGCAGTTTCCATTAGAAAAGGACCTCCTCGATGATTTAAAAACAAGGCTCCAGTTTCCTCCTGCCACAAACGTGGAAACTCTGTCATTTGCAACTTCTCCGGATGATTGCCTGGGGGAGGAGAACTCCTCAGTTTTTGATGCTTTATTTGAGATTTGCCATCCCGAGCTCGTAAATGTAAAATTGATGCTGAGGGAGTTCTTGGAGAAGAAGATGACTAGAACAATGGCCAATTGGCATCGTTACCTGCATAATTTTCAAGTAAGAAAAAAAGTTCAAAAAAAAAGAGAAACCCTTTTAAATCCCCGCTTTTTAGACTGGTCTGGTTCCTATGCCGAGTTCAAACTTGAGTGGTCTTAATCTTGAGGGTTGATTTATTTATTAGACTGGTCTGGTTCCTACGCTGAGTTCAAACTTGAGTGGTCTTAATCTTGAGGGTTGATTTATTTATTTAATTACTATCATAACTCGTCTTCTACTTTTCGTTACAAACATATTTAAACATAAATTACAAACTAGGTAGATGCAATATACATCGAGATATAATTTAGTTTCTAAGGATATATGCTTTGATCCACTTTATTTCTTTTCTTTTTTCAGTTAATCTATATGATATATAGACAGAGAAACTGTAATTGGAAATTGAAAATTTTGGTTTAAAATTATTGATAAGAAAATAAAAATTGTGGGAGTGAATCATAGAATTTGAAACATGTATTACTTGAAAATTATTGTACTTATTGTTTTCTGACTTGTATTACTTAAAACTTATAAGTTTTGATTCATCTAGGTATATTCTTTTGTTGCTTGTATTACTTACAAGTTACAATTTTGATCAACGTGTATTTATGTCTTGTAACTTGAATTACTTATGTTCCTATCCAAATGTATTATGGTACATATAATTATCAATGTAAACGAAATTTTTGTTCTTTTTTATTATAATAAGCTTTTTTAAAACTTCATGTTCTTTGGTTATTGGAAATCCCTTGTATGTTGTGTTTTGGTGGTTTAATAATTATAGTTCATGGCGCACATTAGGTAAGGCTTATTGTTATCAGAGCATTCATAATCCAAGGAGTATAAGAGTTGAATATGATGATGAATAGGATTGAATAAGAGTTGAATGAAGTGCAGATGATGACATGAAATATAGTTGAATGATCATTGAATGGTTCAAAAGAAAGAATAAATTGATGACTATGACTGAGTAAGTGTTTAGCGAGTTATGGGTGGCATTGCATTTAATAAATGATGTGGAATTCATTGAACTTATGCCATCAGGACAAGTACTGCTAGAAAAAGGTATATGTATCGTAGCTAAATATATAAGTCTCTCGTGTAGGTATATATAGTGAAACTTCTATAATTCCAACTATATTTTCTATTTGCTTTTGCACTTTATTTATAACTAGGGTGAGTATGATGCGGATCGGTGTAACGTTTGGCAAAAACGTAACCGCAAACCGCAAATGCGTTTAACCAAACCAAGAAATTGAAAGGTGTGGTTATTTTAGCGGTGCAGTTTTTCAGTTTGTTATGTGGTTTCTCGGTTGCTCAATTTTTATTCGTTTTTTATTCCGTTGCTTTTCGGTTATGTTGAAAATTATCGAAACTCATTCAAAACAAGGTCCAAATAAATCAAAATGAACCAAATTAGTAAAAAGAGTCAAACCAACTCAGTCTAAAATTAGACTCAGTCGGACCAACCTAAACAAATACGCCTATAAAAATGACAACTTAAAGTCCTCGGTCTTTAAAATAAACCGAATTGTTTTTGGCTAAAAAGTATGTCCAACTTAGTGTCCAGTAAAGCAAGGAAGCCTTCACACTCACAAAGATAAAAGCACTAAGAACATCTTCTTTTTGGCTGAAGCCCACAACGCCCTTTTGTAACGTCCGAAAATCCTGATATATTTTTTTTAATTTTTATGCCATCAAATTCATACGTCAATTGTTCCAAAATCAAACACGATATATATATATATATATATATATATATATATATATATATATATATATATATATATATATATATATATATCAAGTATGAGAGTAAAACAGTGGTCAACAATGCGGAAAAATCGTAGGGGGGACACTGTGCAGTCAAGTCGAGTCCTTCCTTTTAGATCTAGAAGTACACGAACATGTTAAACCACAAAGTCGTAAGTACAAAACTTAGTGAGTTCCCCAAAATACTAGATACCATACAAATAGGTCTAACACAACATACAAATGGGCTCAACCTAACATACATATAGGTCTAACCCGACATACAATCAAATAGGCCCAACCAAACATGCAAAAAGACCAAAACCAACATCGAAACAAATGGGCCTAACCCAACATACATATAAATGGGGCTAGCCCAACATGCATATAAATCTGCCAAACCCAATCATGTAAATGTAAGAGTCACAAAGGCAGCTAGTATCCTACGCAATATAGTGAAAAGACTCACCTCAATCTGAAGATAGACAAATCTCACACTCAAGCTGTTGATACCATAACTCCTTACACTAATCATATACAAAATAAAACCCTTATCGGAAATTAGGTAATAATCCATACTCAAGGGTCTTGGTTCATTGTTAATATCCTTAAGGTAAAATACCATTCTATGCTTCCAAGATTAGACCACACTACACTTGACCAATAATCCATTTTTTTTAAAATAACCTTCTGGTGCTACGCTAAGCATAACACCATGTTCTACGCTTAGCATAGAACCTCAGATGGAAATACGGGGGAATTTCAGTCTAAGCTAAGTGTAGCTAAGACTATGCCCATCATAATACACTGATTGGCCAACTTAATATTAAGCTCTTAATACACAAAGACTAACCATCCAATCCTCAGATTTGGACCTAATGAACGTCCTAAGGAGTAAAGTCATTGACTTTATACCTTTGCTTGGCTAAAAAAAGGAAAAGCCCAAACCCTATATCCATAAAACATTTTAATGCTCAAGAGCTCATGCATGGATGGATGGGAGTGACCAAGCTCCCATTTTTACACCCTACAAACTCAAAAACGTCTAAAAATGATGCTTAAGAGCTCATGCTCATACCTCTTAAGACCAAGGTTTTCGGACAAAAAGCGTTAAGATCAAGGGATAACTAGATCGACCATGAAGGAACATCAAGATGCAAACTTTATACCTATTAGAGATGTTTGATGTAGTGCAAAGTCGTGAGCTACAAATCTTGGAGCTCCCAAATGCTTCTCTAATGGACTCTTGCTTCAAGAAGGCACGCCAAAATCAATATATTGCTTCTAAAATATTACAAGGTGACTAGGTTTTCAAGATGAATGAAAATGAGCACGGAGCCTGAGCATAGAGAGGCTCTCCAGGAGATAGAACCTTTAAATAGGGATCACAACCCCTTCATTAGTGTTTTGATGTTGCGCTCCTACGCTAGGCGTAAATTGATATATGCTCAACGTAGGGTATTAAGCCCACGCGTGGAATTGGTTGCCTATACTAGGCATAGGAGGCTATCATACGCTCGGCTTAGGGAACCCAAAATCCATAAACGGAAAACTTAAACATTAAAAATTACACCTGAAGATACGGTGGTTACAAATGTCCCCCACTTGAATCAGAATTCGTCCTCAAAGTCCACTACTACAAAAAGCTCTTGGTCATGTTGTTTCATCTCCTCCTAGGTCTCCCATGTCCATTCTGAACCCTTTCGATGCTGCCATTACACATTAAATAAACCTATCACCTTATTGTGCAAGCTCTTTGTATTCCTATCAAGCATCGTGATCATCTCTCCACATTGTTTAGGCATTCATCAACCTAAATATCGTCCAAGTGAACCACTATGGAGTCATCATCCAAACTCTTCCACAACTAAGTGACATGGAATGTGTTGTAGCTTTGGTTGAGCTTATCAGGAAGATCTAACCGGTACGTAACCTTGCCCACCTGGGTGATAATCGTGAAGGGCCCAGTATATCGGGGGCCTAACTTGCCCTGATTCTGGAACCGGATGACAAATTTCCAAGGTGACACTTTCAGAAGCACATAGTCTCCAACCTAGAACTTGAGTTATGATTGTCTTCGGTTGGCATAACTCTTATGGAGAATCTATGCGATCAATGTAACGCTCGTAAGTTCGGGCTAGACATTTAAGGAAGTTAGTTACGACTATTCATTTTATTTAAAAAGATTAGAATCCCCAGATATTCAGTTACTTTATAATATTCATCATACTTTGAATGAGAGTTTATAAGTCCTTGTCTTACCCGTTCGGTTAACGACCCTCCACCAGTCAAGCAAGCGGTGGGTGAGAGTAGACACCCATTAAGTCACCATTTTATAGGCAACAACCTTATACCCACCTTATAGACCGGCTTCGTGAATGAGGCGTACTAGCGGTAAGACGGCTTTATTCTTATACATATATATATAATTATTAAATCATCATATTATAAGTATAAGGGTTGAATTTTAACTTTTAAAATTCTAGGGGTTGGAACTTAAAGTTTTAAGTTAACTTTACTTGTTCCAAAACTTGAGGGCAAGTTTTGTAACTTTCAAAACTTTTCATTTCTTGTAACTTATGAGTTTAATAGAGTAATAAAATGAAGACTCTTCATTTTTCTAACTCTTGTGTTAGTTTTAATGGTTTTTAATTCAAGTGTGACTCTTGGTTTTCCATAACTTGAGGACAAGTTATGGACTCCATTAAAACACATTATGATCAAGAATTAAACTACCACATAGGTTACAAATAATTCCTATGATCATCTAAAACATCATAAGAACAAGAACATGAATATGAACTTATTCATAAATCAAATATTACACTTAAAACTTTGTAATTTTGATAACTAGTTGTTGTAAATGAATTATCAAAGACATTACACCATCTAAAACAAGTTTTTCAAGTACCAAAAAGTTTAGGGTAATGTTTCTAATTCATTTCCAGCAACTAAATTGAAATTCTGCAATCAGTCGACCCTACTCGCCGAGTGCATGAACTTTACTCGCCGAGTTGGTTGAAGATACACATGAACTCGACGAGTCCCCCCTATAGACTCGACGAGTCCATTCGCAGACAGCAAGATTTTCGATTCTTTTTCAACTTTTAAGCACAAATAAGAGCAAACAAGCCTAGGCTCTGATACCACTGATGGGTTTTGAGCATTCTAACACTTCCTAAGTGTACATGTAACCCTAATAACCTTGGATCTATGTTTGTCTAATAATCATGCAAAGTTGAATTCCAAGGTTATATTCCTATCTAGCATACATAGGGAACACTTTTAACTTAAAGTATAGATAGAATAACTTACCTTGTTGTTGTTTGTGTTCCTTGAAACCTTGTGAGCCTAGCAACCCAAGTGTG